GACAAAAGATGAGATGCTTCGTACAGCGGTCGAAGTGCTATGCGGGACGTCGTTCAGCCGAGTCGATCAAATCAACGCATTTGAAGCGAATGACTTTTGTCAGGTCCCCGAGGCGTCCGTCTGAAACTAGCAATGCACAAACACCTGTTGGAATAACGGACATCATTTCAGCTATGGCCGAGCTCGGTGGAGTCCATCGAAGACCGCAACATACGCCGAAGACCCACGGTGAAACGTCAGCAATTCAACACCGTGCTGCCTGTCATTCACCCCGGCGTCGGACCGGTCTGGCGGCGAAACGGTTAGCAACCTAACCGGATGACACAACCAAAGGGTGACATTGCACGGCGCCGTACGTTCCGCCATAGGCAAACACGACTGTCGTTTTGTGGCAAAATAAATGACAAGTTATTAAGCGGCAAACAACAGCAGGTACGGTAAGAAAAATATCAGCCATGCCGATATGATGCACGAGCCCACAAAAACCATTTTGTTGTGACCTGTCAAAAGGCGACGAATGCGAAGCGGCACATCACATCAAGCCTGTTGGCACAATTGCTATTCGCACAACATCGTACGCTGACCTTCGTGTATGATAGAGGATGAACCGGCGAGTTTTTACTACTGATTCATTAGGGCAAAAATCTACAATCGAAATCTGGTTCAATCACTCCACAGAATTTTTCTGCAATCATGTAGCGAATCACTGCTGGTTTTTGTTTACATGTTTCAACCAAACAAAAGTTTGCAATCGATGGTTAGTCCTGTGGCTCGAACGGAAAGCTTGCACGTCAGGGCAAGTGGCGGGTGGTGGGTCTGCGTTGGGCAGGTTTGCGTTTGGGGCCATTACGACAAGAGCGAAAGTAGAAACGGTAAGAAAAGCATATGGCAGTATTGGGATTGCTAGGGTCTCATACGCCTACGGATCAGCGCTGTCTAGGAGAAGCGGGCGGAAGGATTTAGATCAACTGTCGATATTGGTCCACTAAGATGGCGTCTGAATTTTGTGTTTGCTGTGTCGTTTACATGCTTACAGAAAACGACGATTCATGAGCAAGAACGACAACCGATATCGATATTAATGCCTGACAGACGGAATCAATAAACAACAAAGGTGATATCATTTGCAAACTGGAATGCCAAAATCCAAAAAATACGGCAAAACATAGGCTGTGCCAAATTCTTCACCAAATTGCAATCCCTCTCACTGCCGGATGACTATGTCAATGTCACTGCTAAAGTTTATGAACGCAATAAATCAGACGACTTTTGTGTTACGTTTACTAAACACAATCAAAACTTGGACTAACCGCCAAAATTAAAATAAACCGTGTAGTGGTAGATTAACTTCGTCCTCTAACGCCCCCTTGTTCATTCAAACTCAGGGAAGTGCTCTTGCATCAAATTCACTGTAGGTACTATAACAGTCATAGCCTGCTTAAATGGTTCTTATAAGCGACCCATGCCGAATAAATCAGATATCAGAAATTGAAATGCAAAACAAACGGCTGTCGGAAAATTCATCTCTGACCGATTTACGCATGTCTCGCATTTCTCCTGAAACGCGTCGTTCTTGCTGAAGTAGAGGATGCACTTTTGAGCAAGTGACGGCAGAAGAATGCTTGTGAACCACTGATCAAAACCTAAATGTCCATGGTACTCTCTGGAGAGCCGTTCAGTTTGTTTTATGTTTCTGTGGTGTATGACGTTGTTTTATTTCATTTAATAAGTCAGCCACAACAGAAGGAAGTGCAAATCACAAAAACTATGACGCAGCCAACGATGAACCAAGCGAAACACGGTTTTCAAGGAGAATGCCTGAAAGGTTAGCTCTTGAAACGTGTCAGTCATTCCAACCGAGTGTCGTGAGTTTTACTCAGTTCATTTTAATATAACAGACGAACTCATTGAACTCAGGTGACTGCATAAAATGCCACAAACAAATCAGTTCAGTACATACCGTAATATATGATTCTATTTTTTGCTCGTTCGAATCGAACAAGAAGTAAGACTTTACATAAACCAATGCCTGAAACGAAACCGAAAATGAGTCAGTGCCATTTCCGAGTTTCTCTGCCAAGCGCAAGTCAATAATTCCAAATTTTACCATTAAGATAGATAGTCAGACGCAAATCAGAGATTCAGCTCTACTCTGCTACTTCTGGGAACATGCAACTAGCGAGAAAAATGTTGTCCTCTTCCCACTTCTTGATGTCACCCATCAGAAAGTATCTGTATCTTCCGTTCGCCTTGTCAGTGAGCGGTCAACAGCATTTCAAATGGTTGACAGCAAGATTAAAGATGTAATCACGCTTTCTTCTAAAATTAGTGCGCGTTGCAGTCCTCAATTCAACCGGCAGATCGACGGTAAATTTTGAAATATTGTTAATTTATTTTTTCGCGCGCCTCAGGCACTATCATCATTCAACAGAAGAACAGAAGAACAGTGGTCTTGATATAGCAACATCTTCTTATTCGGTACGGGTAGACGGTTGAGAGGTGAACGACTTTTCGAACATATTTTGTTCCCTTGCAGTCATCTCAAAAAACTTAACACGGGACGAGGGATGCACTACCCGTCTAGTACTGGAGAAACTTTGTGGGTAGGCTGATACCATGAACGAAACGCAAATCAGGGTATTTATGCGTGGCTACGGCACGTTAAGAATAAAGTCGCACTGTTCAGCAATCAGGATCAGATATCTACACAACTGGTTATCAGTGTCTGCTTGATAAAAAACAATGGATATTTATTACACCATGTATTTTTTGTTATTTATCGTGCCGCTATCCATGGACTTTAAAGATATGATCTCTCCTATTCACCGATATACCGTAATCAGTAAGAGCGTGAGATACTAGTGTAAACCAGTTTATGCTACTTTCGGCTCAAGGCCTAACGTGTCGTTCTGCAGTTTCTAGCGAACATAGCGTTGTCATTCTGAAAAGCAGCCCTAACGATGCCTAGAAGTTCTGAAAAATCCAGGAAGAATTCAAGAAGGAAGAAAATCGTTCTACTCGTCCATCAAAGCAGCGCTGTTAACTGCACTCAACAAATCAATATTGCTTAGCCGCATAGATTCGTTCGCTATTTTGTAAAATAGATTATTTTTCATCTTAATTCTCTACCTTGCAGATTTTCAAAACGTTTCTGGTAAAAAAACCTCTGCCAAAGTAAAAAACCTATTACAACCAGCAGTCATAAGATTTCTTCCAGAATGCATGTGAGAATAAGATTTCTGACTACGATAAGCATGAAACTCTTGCTTGAAACTGCCTGAAATGCTCAGATACAAAAGCAGTTAAGAAATGAGGATAATATTTTCCTCAAGAATTCCTTGCCTAGACAAGCATATTCTGACACAAACCTAAGCGGGTAACTAACAGTCATTGCTCGTAATTATCACTGAACCGAATCTAAGGAACCGCAAAATGTCTATCCTTAAGGTAGAGAATGAACTCTTTAGCTAAAACAAGAAAAGGGAATACACCTTAACTGATTATCACAGTGAATTTGCAGCCAATCAGATGGATCAAGCGAACTGCAGCCCAATGAGGTGCTCGCATCAGAGAGCATGGCCTTCCCCTCACACATTCTGGTATGACCACATCATCGCACCATGCTGCTTATGTTGTCGGAAGCTAGGTGCTAATATCGATTTCGTG